CTCCGCGACCTGGCGAGGCGTTGGTGAGCAAGGCGAGGAGTTGCAAGAGGGGTTGCTCGCACAGCTGAGCATCAGGAGAGAACCCTGAATTTGGCTGGCACAAGTGACTTCCATGCTTGTGACTGGGGGGAGATGAGATTATTTTCACGCTTTTTTTTTTTTTAAAGCTTTAATGTGTTTTCACTTTTTTTTTGGAGTGCGTGCATGTATGATACCAATATACGCGCACACTGCATTTAATAAATAAGCATTTGTGCCCTAAAGAATATTTTGTAAAGTTACCTATTTACAATTTAAGCATTTCACCAATGTTAACCTTTTCGTAACCCCTTTCTGTGATACGAGAAGAGCAAGAGAGAGTGAAGTGAGGGACCTACCTCAACTTGTACAGTGAGTTAAGAGGAGGTATCGGAAATTATCCCAAGCTCTTGTTCTTCTATTCTGACCACTAGCTATTTTATCTTTTTTTTTTTTTCTGAAAATGATGCGTGTAGCTACAATGTCAGCGTGTTGAGAGGTTGCAGCCACAACACGTTTTTATGGAGATAGTATTTCAGCACTCGGCGTTTGGTATAATGGATTGAGGCAGTGGCCTGGAAAGCCTAAGCTCCTGTCTCCACTGCTGATTGATGCCAGGTACTTTAGAGGAAGCCAAAATTGACTTCTGCACTTACTGCTTCTTGGTGTATCTTGTATAAGCTGGAGAAGGCTCACATGCTAAGGAAAATCTGGTTTTCCATCACTGAATATGGGAATATTTGGAAATAGGAATACTTTAGGGGGCTGCCTACATGCTCACGGGCTACAAGCTTCTCCTTCTGTGGGGGCAGTTATATGGGGGTGAAAAGATGCTTAAGTTATTTCCCCGCGCTGAGGCAAACCGGCGGCAATGATCCACAACAGCAAAGCAGCTCCCTGCTGGAGTGACTCTGCCATGTGAAAGCTGTGAGCAAACCAGGTTTGCCTCAGAGATTTCGGATGCCTGGGTGCGTGCCAGACAAGGGGGGTAGTCTGGGGGACCCGTCAGGGCTGTGGGCTCCCCACCCCGGTGCTGACGGGGCTGCGCTGGCAGGAGCGGGCTGCGGGGCCGGGCTCTCACCTCTGCTGTGTTCGAGGGCTGGGGCTGGTCCTGGCCAGCGCGGGCTTCGGCCGCCTGACCGCCCCCATCATGGAGCTCCACAACCAGAAAGGCTACTTCCTCCACCACGTCATCTTCGCCTGCTGTACGCTCATCTGCATCATCTGCATCCTGCTGCTGCCGGAGAGCAAGAACCAGAACCTGCCCGAGAACATCCCGGACGGGGAACATTACACCCGGCAGCCCCTCCTGCCGCACAAGAAGGGGGAGCAGCCCCTGCTCCTGACAAACTCTGAACTCAAGGATTACTCCGGCCTCCACGACTCAGCAGCTGTGAGCGACGGGATCTCCGAGAATGCCACTGCCAATGGGATGAAGTCGATGTAACTGGGTGGATTTTTTTTTTTCCCTTCTCTTTTTGGTTGGGGTTTTTTTGTTTGTTTGTTTGTTTTCTTTCCCTTCTACTCTTTCTTTTTATTTTATTTGATGCTGTTGTGCAGGAGGAGCAGCACTTTGGGCAAAGGTGTTTTGCACAGGTTTTACAAACCAGTGACGGAGCAGACGCAGACTTGGGGGAACGCAACTCTGCTGCTAAAGCAACTTTTGGCATCTTCAACTGTTGTGCAGATTGCTCTTGAAAAAGTTATGGGGGAAAAGACTCATCTGAGAAAAGACGTGGCTGGAGGTAGCCCTTCAGAACTCTTTTTTTCCTGCCATTAAATATGTATATTTATTTTGATTTATTCTCAAGAAGCACTTTATTTCCTTTTCCTTTCATAGATCACAAAAATGAAGCCATCTTCTTATAAGAGGTGCAGCCATTCCAAGAAAGAAACCGGGGGGGGGGGGGGGGGTGT